AAAATAGTAGTTTTCCTACGAGTTTGAAAAGTCTCTGTTTGCGAACCGAGAGGTTTGCGGCCCTAGCCGAATGCGAGGGACGTAACGAGGTTCGTAAAGGAGACTTTTCGAACGAGTTCCGGAAAACTGCTTTTTCGCCCGAGGAAGTACCAGCCTCCCAAAACCACCCGAGTGCGGAAAAAATATTTTATCCAGTAAAAATACTTATGTATTATTTATTACTACAAACAATTCCAACTTTCTGTATTCTGTGAATCTTTCCATATTTTGTTGTAATATTTTGCGTTACCCTAGATATGCATGACTGTCGGAGATGGATAAATCAGATGAAACAATATTCGAATACCTTAAGCAGATAATTTGATGCAGTAAAACTTAAATAAAATGAAAAAAAACAAAAATGGCTTTTTACAGTACCTACATAAACGTTGAATCCTGTATTAATAATAGTAAGAGCTTGCCGTGCTACTCGACAAATAACATTAAAAACATACGCAAAAAAAAATTCTTTTGCAATGTATTGCAATAGTTTACATGTGCAATTTAAAAAATATTTTTAAAAATGAGCTTGAACTCCCTGTGCACTTGTAAATGACCCAACGTTTGTGGGTCATTCGGTAGGGGAGTGGAGAAAAATGGCCAAATGGTATTTGTAAGAAATGACATTTATTTAGTAAAAATTTTACCAACGGTCACTATCGATGATTGTGCCTCGCTCTGATTCCGAGATACCTTTTATTTAATATCACAAACACACACAATTAAGCTAAATGAAAAATTGCTTGGGTCACTCAAGTACGTGATGCTAACGCTCCACCGAAAATTAAACATTTTCACTGTCAACTTTTTGGTTTTTCGCTACATTCTATATGCTTCTGATGAAAAAAAAAAAAAAAAAAAAAAAAAAAAAAAAAAGTAATAATGATAATAATTACACGCAACTACAAACACGCGTTACTTCAACAATATTTCATCTTTGGTGAGTGAACTTAGAGCCCTCACGGCTAGAGCTCGACTGATGGTGGCGGCTGTGTCTTCGATGATGGGGCTGGCGATGTCCAGCACGAGCCTCGGATTAGCATTGAAGAAAGCCTGAGCTGCGTCAGCTGGAAATACACACGTAAGCACAGATTATAGTGGCATCATCGACACCCAAGGGGCGTGAATGCCTTACCAGTGACGGCGTGCTGGGGTGGCGACTTGAGCCTGATGTTGCCGTGACCAACGCGAATCTTCAGCTGGAGCTTGTCGACTTCGACCCTCGTGACCCCGCTCTTGTCGACCGCCTCCTTGCCCTTGGCGCGCACCAAGACATCTATATTGGCTGGGAAAAAATAAAGAAAATAGATGCGCGCTCAGACAACGAAGTGACGCTAACGAATTCTCTCGTTTCCGATGGAAAGTCACCGGCACTCATCGTCACGCCCCCGGATAATCCATAACATATAATGTTGCCGTCCGATTGTGTCACAGCGCTGGTTTGCGCAACAACCGCGCTATAAACGCGAGTTTTGTTACAAAAAAAAAAAAAAAACCCTCGATATTAAATCACCAACTACATCACGCGCGACAAATATAACCATCGTGTTATTCAATATAATATAATAAGCAGCTGGCTTTTTCTACTTTCTCCCCGGAATGAGGGGACACGGCCGAGAGCAGGTGTATCGCTGCGCTATATACTTACCGATCAATGGAATCGGAAAAAATGGGGGGGGGGGAGGGGAAAAAAAAGAAGTAAGGGTTATTAATGTACTTACAAAAGTTGCCCTTGAACGCGCCCACGCCGTTGAGGACGAGCAAGAGCAGCCTGCCCCTGACTTCGTAGTTGCCCCGTACTTGGACGAAGGGCATGTGGATCTTCATGCCGAGAGTGAGGGCCCGGGGGTCCACGTCGATTTCGTTGATGGCGTAGTTTGAGGCGCCGGTCGCTTGGATGTTGGTGATGTTGGTCTTGATGACGAGCTGGTCGAGGCTGCGGTCGATGCTCAGAGACGGGAGGACGAAGGGGTCCAGCGCCGGGAGCCTCATGCCCGGTATGCCCTTCATCATGTGGGGCGTCATTTCCCGAACTTTGTCCACGACGCACTGGTTGAACTCGTTCCGGCTCAACGAGATCGAACAACCGGTTATACCATCCGCTGAAAATTATCACGTGGACTTTGTTTTTTTTTTTTTTTTTTTTTTTTGTTTATCGTTGTGTACACGCATCTTCGATCAACGCGGTGAGAGTGACGGTATGTTTTGTTTTCTTCCATCTCGAGTTGACGACTCGCGTGAAACGGTTACCGGTCTCGCTACGTTTCCTATGAAAAGTGAAAAGTCCGCATTAAAAGTTGCGTCACGTATTACACGCGCGAGTGAACACACGCCGATAGAAAGTCTCGCTCCAAATTCTTCCACGAGCCATTTCACTTGGACAAGAAAATCTCCGAAGCACAACGAGCAGAGCATCGAAAGTATACTTTGTTGATGGACCAATAAAAAAAAAAAAAAAAAAAAAAAAAAGGAAATTTTTTACTCACGTAGTTTGGCAAACGAAGTCCTCGATAAGCTGCAGCCGAGCAAAATGGCCACGAGCAATCTCGCGTAGCCGATCATTTTGACAGGACGGCCCAGCTCTGCTTGCTCGACTATTGTAAGTATACTTATATATGTTATGGACACTTGCAACGGGTGGCTTATATTGACACCCGCGAGAGCTGAAATGCGCTACCACCGTCCCGACACCGGCGCTATATATCAACTTAAGCCTGCACTTTCTCCCGTACCAACCAACTCCCACTCTGTCTTTGCTGAATGATATACCTATACGCGAAACGCCAAAGGACACCCACCATAAGTGTACAACGTATCTGCCGGTGGAGTCTCTCCTCTCCCTGGTGCCTATATCCGTAAAGGATAATTACCATCTCTTTTTTTTCTTTCCCTCCTTGTTCTTTGATGTGTCGCGAATCTGTAGCGCGCGTGGCCCCAATCGGCCAACCTCGGCTAATCGGTTCGGTTGATGGCCTTCGCAGAAGAGAGCATTGCACGCGACAGGAAACGCGCGCGCGTATGCAGAGGAACGATCGTCAGATAAGGGTCTGGAAGCGCAATGGAAGCACCCGCGTGGAGGAGTAGGATCGGTATAATTTGCACGAGAGAGATCGGTACGAGAGTACCGCGTGTGTCAACTAGGGCAGCGGCTCACCCGCGTTTTTCCATTGTTTCGATGCAGGCGCTGTACTAATCGTACCTTAGATTCATCCATTTGTCGTTGCAATGCAATAAAAGTTATGTAAGCGTAAAGAAAAAAAAGTGTCCGTGTATGTATGTATGATTAGATCACATAGGATAACGCGTATACAATGGTTCGTGGGGAAAACTATGAAATAAATTAATCAGTGAGCATTCATTTTTACAATATTCAATTGCGATTCATGCGATGCCCGTACAACAAATAAGCTCTTTTACATGGTAATAACATTAATTAGCGTGATTATACGAATATGCATCGGGGGGCATTGTGCTTAATCGATGGATGTGCATCACTGCAATTGCTTTTACGCTCGCAACACCATGAGGGTGGGATCAAAGATAGTTTTATGTAACGTCGTAAAATTACACAACGTCAATTACAAAGCCATCGGAGGTATACACACAAGTATGTACAGGTGCTCATGGGGGGGGGGGGGGAAATCGAGACAAGTTAAAAATAATTATTTTTTTATTTTTTTTATTGTACGGTCAAAACAATGAGCGTAGGTAGTGCGCATCTGGTATACATGTGTATTATGTGACGAAGAGTTTTCAGTAGAGGTAAGACACGGCGTATGCGAGTAAAGAGACGAGGACGATGGCGAATAGATAGAGAAAGAGGTAGGTGGATGCGTAGACGAGGAGCACCCTGTAAAGGGCAAACAACTCGAAAACAATCATGTTGCTGTTGTATGGTTTTCAGTGATGGAAAAATCATTCCTTCTCGATGACCGGCAGGTTCTTGTACATCTTGAACACCACGTCCTCGGAGTCTCGCTCGCTGAGGGCCTTCGTCGACAGGTCGTCGGCAATCATAGCCGCGACCGCCTCGGCAGCCATGAGACCTGCAACACGGCCGTCACAATGTATAGCGATTGCATTACATGTGGATGGGTATATTATATATGTATATTTTACATTTGCTACATTATAATATGGAAACGCTCGAGAGCACCGCCGCCTCGCGAGTTCTACTTTGAAAAGTAAACAAACGCGCGATGACCCCAGCCGATGGACTACGTGTTCCCAGGCTCGTTCGCAATCATCCTTTTATTTCGATGCATCGCGTTTGTTGTGTTTCCGTTTTTTTTTTTTTTTTTTTTTTTTTTTTTTTTTTTTTTTTCCCGTCGGTTGCCCAATCGTTCGTACCCCTTTAACGACGCCTTGAGCAAAGATTTATGTCGATTATCAAACCCTCGAGCCGACTCCTCCTGGGCGTTTCGATCAACCGATCGTTGCTTTCTCGGAATGGCACAACGCAAGGGACGACGATTGTACACGCGAGGTATCCGCATATTTCGTCAACCGGAGGAAAAAGGGGGAGCTGCACGTACACGCGGAAAGAAGAAATCGAGTGCGTAACGCGAAGCCCAAGCACATAATATATTATATAGTCCAGCATTTGCGTAACACGTGTCAGTGCAATGTAATATATAACACGGCCTACCTCCCTGCGTATCGTGACTTTTACTCGATCGGCGTTACGTTTGTCGCTGATGATGTATACATGTAAGTTACCTTGGGTGAGTATGGCTTCGACGGGCCCCTTTTCGTCCATACCCTGGAGCTTGATGCTTTGGTTTTTGGCGACGAGTTTGGCCCGCGCGGCTCGCACCACGAGCGTCTTGTTGCCCACCTTCTTCAGCTCGATCGTGAAATCGGCCACTACGTCGGCTGAAAGACAAAAAAAAGCCATGCAAAAGGGATTTGGCGTTCCTTCGAGTGTCGCGTTTGGCTTACGCAAGCCCGTCGAGCAAGAACGCATATATACACGTATACAGGCACTTACAAAAGTTACCGGCGAGAAGACCGTTGCCCCGCAACAGCTGCTTGCCAACTTTTCCCGACAGCACGTAGTTCGACTTGACGCTCAGTTGGGGCACCCGTATCCTCACGATCACGTGCATCACGTCCTCGTCCTGAAACAAACAACCAATACAACGGAGGATAATAAAATCCATCACAAGCGCGTGACAAAGCTCCTCACGTCTTCGTTGTCGCTGGTCAACGCGTGCTGGCGCTTCCTGCGGACGCTCGTCTCGTTGCCGGTCGCGTTGGCCCGGCCAAAGTGGAAGATGAGCTCCATGCCCTCCTCGTAGTAGCCGTGCTTTTCCTGGTACTCCTTGGCGTATCTCAGCATGTCGCTTATCCGCTCGGACTCGCTCGAGTTCCGCGCCACGTAGCCCTGCAACCGCGTTATTTACCGTTTTTTCGTTTTTCCCCCTCCTCGTATAGCTCGACCCTCGGACTACCCTATATATACCTCCTCGTCGGCCTCCCCGGAGTTGCGCGGGTCGATGGTCCTCGGGTTGCTCTTTAGCCGGTCGCTCGCGAACACCACGTCGACGTAGCCGGGCTGCTTCTCCAGGCGCACCATCGGCGCCTTGTACGGCTCGAACTGCTCGACGTACGGCGAGGTCGTCGACTCGGCGTGAGCCCTACCCTTGGACTGGCCCTCCTGGTGCACGTGGGTCTCGTCGTCGCACTCGTACCTATACACACGCGCGTGATCCCGTTCATCTTTTGTACTTCAAGTTGCGGGAGTATATACGATTTGGATTGCGTGTCATTACCCCACGGTCCTGGCGTTGTTGCTCTCGACCGAGAGCCGTCCGCTGCCAAAGGTGGCCTTGTACCGCGAGCCATCCCCGGCGTAGTGGGCCTCGTAGCCCTTGGGCGAGGCTGGTTGGTGGGCTCCGGTGAAGGAGGAGAACCGATCGACCGGCTGGCCGTACGAGTCGACGGTGCGTCCGCCTTGGACCGATACCCGGGAGTTGCCGTAGGTGCCCGAGAAACTCGTTCCCGAGGCTCCGGTCGATTTAATTGCGAACTCGGTGTCGTGGGCTCGATCGTCGGTGGCCTTCTTGGCCGAGAAGCTGGACCCTCCGAAATTGGCGTTGAGCGCGTAGCCACCCGGTGATGCCTCCGTCGACGAGACGAGTCGGTCGAAGCGCCGCTCCTCCTGCCGATGGGGCAACTTGGCTGGTGGCCTGCACGCGCCCACGCACGGCCGGCTCTTTTGCTGCTCTTGCTCCTGTTCCTGCTGTTGCTGTTGTTGTTGTTGTTGTTGTTGTCCCCCCTTGTAGTGGTGGGTAAAGTGCAACCGCATCTGGGCTTGGTTCCTCGGGGTGGTCTGGGGATAAGGGGGACGTTAGTTCAATCGTCCAAAGTAAATGGGCGTGCGAGAGCTACTCACATTGGATACGACTTTCATGTCCCCGTACGAGGACTGGTAGCCCTTGTGTAGTTGTTGTTTGGTCATCTCTTGTCTGCTCTCCTGGTACTGCGACGCGTCCTGTTCCTGCTGGTGCTGTTGGCGCTGTTGCTGGTCCCTGCCACCCTTGAGGTCCTCTTGTTGTTGGTGTCGCTGCTGGCCACCGTAGCCCGACAGGTACTCCTCGTCCTCGTCCACGATGCTGACCGAGCTCGGGTCGTACTGGACGATCCTCTCGAACTGGGGCCGCTTGGGCTCCTTGACGAGGGTGTGGAACCTGTACCTCACGGAATCTAGATCCCGTTGCTCGTTGTAGCTCACGTAGCCGGCCTCGCCCTCCCCGAGGTTCCTCTTGAGCTTGCCCCGCTCAAGGTGCACGCTCTCGAGCCGCGAGCCGTTCAAACCCGCCACCTCGAGGTCCCGCAGTACCACCCGGTAGCTCGTCTCACCCTCCGACTGGTCGACCTTGACCACCGGCACCCGCAACGGGTCCAACCTCCCGATCCTACGGTAGCCCCCGTTGAGCACCCGCGACCACAGCACCTGCGACATCTCGAGCAGGGACGCGCTGCCGAGGCCAACCAGCAGGGCCAGGCCCAGGATCCCCGGGAACTTCATGTTTTTCCCGCTTCAACTAATCGAGAGTCCCTCTTTTTTTTTTTTTCTCCTCGCGCTAGTCGAGTCGCTCGACCGACCGCACTTCCCAGACGTACAGGGGACCGCGGTACAGCACCAAGCCCACGGCTATCAGCAGACAGAGCAGCAGGATCGTGCAGCCCACCGCGATGCACATAAATACACCCTCATAAACGCCGTGCAACTAACAAAGGATTTTTTTTTTTTTTTTTTTTTTTTTTTTTCTGATGCAAAAGACGATGGCTCGCGGTGTGCGGGGTTGCGCCCGAGTGCGGACGTTGGCCGGGCTAACTGGGCTTTTTATACGCATTATCGTGGAAGGGTACTAACTGGGCCACGGACCGATCCGTCGATCTTACCACCGGCGGCGTTGACGCGTAATCTGTTTTTTTTTTTTTTTTTTTTTTTTTCCGCCAGGAGACAACAGAGTTTTGTGGAATACAAGAGGCCTGACATTAGTCAGAGCCGGTGATGATCTGTTTATACTCCGGGGCAGCAGCGCCAAGCCCGA